TGGGTGGCGCGTGCTGAGTGCGATGGTTCTGAGTCCTGTTGGAATGTCCAAGGTATGCGGCCAAAATGTCTGTGTGCTCAAGGCTTTAATACACCCGCCAGAATATTTTCGCGATAATATTTGGCAATTATTCTGATGCCATGGTCGATTAATACGAGCTAAGAGCGACCATCGGCTGTTATGGCGGCCCACACCATCACCATGGCCGGCGCTTGACTTCTGGTGGCCAACCGAAGGTGCACATTTTCAGCTGACCTCTTTGGCAAGTAAACACGATCATTTTGTTAGTTTACAAACTGCTGGACAACCAATGTTTTCTCATGGGAGAAAAACAAGTTCAGCAGTTCACCACTTTCGGCCAAGCGAAGCAACTCTTTAGGCCTTTTGAGTATATTTTCTTTCCGTTGCAGTGTAAGTTCTTGCACTTTTTGGCTTTACCCCGAACTCATTTTTCAATATTTGCCGAATGGAATATTGCGATATGTTCAGCTCACGAGCCATTCTTCGGCCACTGCGAAGCGGGTTTCGATCAAGTCGCTTCTTTACTTTTCGAACCATTTCTGTCCACTTCCTTGACGTCGGGCTAAGCTACCAGCATCACGGTACGAGACACTATAGATTTATTAAAATTAAAATGCTGGAGTGATCTAACGATAGCCATTGTGGTTTTCCAGCCAAATATAAAGAACCCTATCACTCTTGAATTCCATCACGAATAACTTTTTTTCTGGAAAATTCTCACCAAAATGCTTTTGTACGCTTGTAAACAATATAATGAGCTGTCACTGGAATAATTTTAACAGCTGTCGGAAGAGTGGCATAGAAATGACAGCGGTCTGAAGTTGGTTGCAGTTTTTTCATCTCACCCTGTATTAAAGAAATGTATTTTCAACTTTCAATGACCCAATGGTAGTGTTGTAAAAGTTAAGCCAAGTATGTTTTTGAATGAGTGTCGAAAAAAAATCACACTTGCTCCTTAAGAATGGACTGACCGAAATACCTCCAAAAGTGAAACTCACATTATTTGTTAATAATATCGGCAATGTGTTTTTTTTTTGTTCGATATTCTTATAGTAGGTTTACACACTAATATTTATCCGCGTTAAATCTTAATAATAATTTTTGTGTCTTTTGTTCTAGCGGCTTTAATATTCACCTCTGGTGGTATGTTCTTGGGTGATCCAGGTCCAAAAGCTTACTTTACCAACAAACACTTGCCAATGAGTTGGTTCATTGGAGCAATAGTTGGTGTTATTTTCGGTGCCATTATTTGTAACCGAATACCTAAGAAACTAATAACGGTAAGCTTCGCAGTTCCAATACATTTCTGTCGCATTTATTCAAACAAATTTTGATTTTTCCAGTGTTTCGCTTCGTTGTTGGTAACCGTCTCGGGCATACTGTTGGTGGCAGATCCACGCTCATTGGATGCCCTTTTGGCAGCACGTTACATCAATGGCTGTGCCTTGGGTCTGGTATTTCCCCTGACATTTGTTCTGGTGGGCGAACAATGTGTGAAAAGTTTGCGTGGCATGAATGCCGCCGCCGTCGGTTCGATGTGCCTTCAGTTGGGTGTATTTCTGCAGATCATCTATTCGTATATTTGGCCACAGGATGCCTCATTCGATGGCGCTCAAATGATGGGTATTCTTTCGATTTTCTGGGGATTCTTAAGTTTTTTCATGGCCTTTTTCCTGCAATTGGAATCACCGATTTTCTATTTAGCACGTGGTCAGGAAGAGATGGCAATCGACATATTAAGACGGCTACAGCGACCATTTACAGTCACCCACGAGACCTATGAACAGCTAATGGAACACAAACATTATTTGGCCGAAAGTAGGGAAAAGACACTGTTGCAAAGCGCCATTATCGGATTTCCTGCACTTCTGAAGTTATCATTTTACCGCGTATTTTCGGCTGCTAGTTCTTGCTTCTACACCTACTTTGCATTTTCCTATGCCGTATCGATTGCCTTTAAATACGACGCCACATGGGCCTATAATGTATATGGTTTCTTGGCATGGATCGGAACCATGATCGTTACCTTTACAATCGACTCAAAGGGTCGTAAAACTCCAATGATTTTTGGATTCTTTTGTTGTTCCTGCCTATGCTTCAGTCTTGCTGGTGTCCTTAATGACGAATTTAGTGTAAGAGACAGCGGCACAATGACAGTTGTGATGTTCCTAATGATGGCGTATCAGTTATTTTCCGGCATTTCGACAGCATCATCTTCGGTTTATCTAACGGAGGCATTTCCATTGGCCGTAAAACCCTATTATGTGGCCATTACCTTCATTGCGGAGATGTCTATTCACATCTTAGTCATAGCCGTACATTCTGAGCCTTGGAGTTACAATGTTTACGATTTGCCGCCATACTTCTACACTTTGGGTGGGCTGTCAGTGGTGTTTTTTGTCGTGGCCATAGCCGCATTGCCGGAAACAAAGAAAAACACCTTGCGTGAATGTTTGGCAAAGTTTCGAAAACTTGTCAATTGTCAATATTAACTTATCCCCAAATACTGCATTTTTAATTAATCTCTTAAGTGTAAATACATAAATACGTATAAATAAATATATAACATATGGCAGCATTTTTTGGTATTATAAAGATTAATGTATATAAGGGGACTCTTACCTGTTAATCCTTTGATATATACTATAAATACGCTCGAGGAAATTTTTTTCATTTTTATATTTATTTGAACATGAATGTTTCGCATTTTAAATTAAAACAAATTAATAATCAAAGTTGAATAAATCGGAAAAATATTTGTACATTAATAATCGCAAGAATAATATTTTTATAATATTTCCATATTTTTTAATAGCAATAAAAACCAGTAAAAAAAGTCCAAAAGTCGGGCGGGCCGACTTTATGATACCCTACACCTCTCTGCATATTTAGTAGAGCTTCATATAACAAAAAACAAGTTAGAAATCAGTAAGTCGAACTTTGAATACCCTCCACCATTTGGAACGAATTTGGAAATTTTCAAAAAATAGAATCCGTTAAAAATTCTGTTACAACCTTAAAAATATTGAATATGGCCGTTATATTGGTTTATATTGGCTTACCATACCATATTCAAATTCGAAACTTGAAATAAACGGTGAGTAATGTAGCTAAAATCATCAAAATACCATATATAGGGAGGTACAGTTATATACGAAGACCTGGACCTGCATAGAAAATTTTCTGTCACAGGCTGAAGCATCCATTACGAACTTAAAATACGATATCTCAAACAATTTCGGTGAGTATTGTGCCTAAATTCGTCAAAATACCGAATATAGGGAGGTACTGATATATGGGGCCTATACGAAGACCTAGACCTGCATACACAATTTTCTCTCACAGACTGTAGTTCCCATTACGAACTCTAAATACGTTAATTGAAACTACTCCGGTGGATAATGACTCTAAAATCATCAAAATACCGAATATTGGGAGATACCGTTATATAGGGGCTATACGAAGACCTGGACCTGCATACACAATTTTCTGTAACAGACTGTAGTTCCCATTTCGAACTTCAAATGCCAAATTGGAAACAATTCCGGTGAATAATGTCGCTAAAATCATCAAAATACCGAATATTGGGAGGTACCGTTATGTGGGGGCTATATGAAAACGTGGACCTACATGGCCCATTTACGAACTTAACCTGCCTACTGGCAAAAGAAACATGTGTGCAAAATTTTAGCCTTCCATCTCAATTTGTTCGTAAAATAGCGTGATTACAACAGACAGACGGACCTCGCTAAATCGACTTAGAATTTTACGCTAATCAAGAAGGGTCTGACATGAATATTTCGAGGAGTTACAAACGGTATGACAAAGTTAATATACCCTCCATAGTATGATGGAGGGTATAAAAACATCGAGCGTACGTCAAGTAATAAGTAGGCGTGTGAGGATCAATAGAAACCATTAAAGCCAGTAAAGAGGACGTTCAGTACATATTTTTATACCCTCCACCAAAAAAAAAGTATGGAGGGTATATTAAGATCGTCATTCCGTTTGTAACTCATCGAAATAATCATTTTAGACCCAACAAAGTATATATATTGTTGATCAGCTTAAAATTCTAAGACGATTAAACTCTGTCCGTCCATCTGTCCGTCTCTCCGTCCGTCCGTCTGTTGTAATCACGCTACAGTCTAAACGAATTAAGATAGGAAGCTAAAATTTTGCACAGATCATTCTTTTGTCTGCATGCAGGTCAAGTTCGGTCCACGATATCCTATAGCCCTCATATAACGGTACCCCCGATATTCGGTATTTTGATGATGTTAGCCACATTTTTCAATGGAATTGTCGGAAAATCCACACAAGTAGTTCCTTGTGGGTACTTTATACCTCGACAGAGAATTATCTATATAGGTCCACAATATCGTATAGCCTCCATATAACGGTACCACCTGGTATTCGGCATTTGGATGATTTTAGCCACATTTTTCAATGGAATTGTCTGAAATTCCACAAAAGGAGTCCCTTGTGAGCACTTTACCCCTGAAACGGAATTATATATATAGGTCCACAATATCGTATATCCCCCATATAACGGTACTCCCCTACATTAGGTATTTTGATGATTTTAGCCACTGTTTCCAATTGAATTATCTGAAAATCCACACAAGGAGTTCCTTTTGAGTACTATACACGCAGACATAGATTTATCTTTATAGGTCCACAATATCGTATACCCCCCCGTCCCGGCCGAACTTACTGCTTTTTTATTTGTTGAAACTCAGATTTATACAACCCTTATTCTTGGTTTTGATCAACTTTATGTTTTTTTATGCACATAGCATGTGTATTTGTATATAACCGTTACAGTTATAAAGTTAACTTATGATAATATTTATTTATCAATACTTTTGTTGATAACGTTCACATGTGACAAACATATTATTGCATTGAAACAACGGCTTGTCAAAACAACAACAATATCTATAAGGCAATCAGTCACAATTCTTGCATTGCTGTGATACGGTACTACGCTTGGATACTTTTTTCATAACAAGTCAGAACATGCCATAAGTATTGTCGAGAAAAAATGCAGGATACCTCAGCAAAACGACACACAGTTCCTAATTATCCACCACAGTCTGCTGTGCCCGCATTTCCGGCATTGGCAACAATAGAAAAACCAGAAGGATGTTTCAAAAGAAATAGCAAAAATAAACCACAATCGAACTCTTCTGGAGCAGGTGGGTGCAAGAACAACATACAAATAGAAAATTCCGCAATTGTAGTTTTAACAAACAAGTTCTTAAAAAACAAGTAAAAAACCGTAAGTTCGGCCGGTTCGGACGATTTCGGCAATTTTCAAAAATCAGTTAAAAATTCTGTGGACCTGCACAGACAATTTTCTGTCTTAGGCTGTAGTATCCATTACGAATTTCAAATACCAAATCATCAAAATACCGAATATCGGGAGGTGCCGTTATATGAGGGCTATAAAGACGTGAACCTGTGCGAACAATTTTCTGTCATAGACTGTAGAATTCATTGTGAACTTCAAATACTAAATTTAAAACATTTCCGGTGAATAATGTCGCTTAAATCACCAAAATACCGAAAATAGGGAGATACCATTATATGAGGGCTATACCAAAACGTGGGCATACATGACCTAGTTTTAATACCTGCAAAGTGAAGGAAGTAACCAATATAGTCATATGTATTTAGGTCCGATACGAAATGGACAATATTAGCCCATTCCCTCGGAACCTACGCCATGAAGGTTGAACAATAATCATAACAAAAGTCAAAAAATATTTAAAAAATCGAATATTGGCTGAGGGTATACATCGGTCGGCAAAAGCGACAAATACTTTTTAAATTGTTTTCAAACAAATAAAGATTTTTCTACCAAAATTGTGGAGGAACAACAGAATACTTTCTTTAAAATTGTATCTGTTTTTGGGATCTCACCAAACTCCACCTAACTGTTGTACTGGCGATTTGTGGAGTTCTTTGAAAAGACAAAATAGAAAAAAATATTAATTTGTTGGGGAACTATGTCTAAGACCTCCAAAATACAAGAAATACAGAGGAAACGTTAAGTGTTATTTGGGCCAATATCAAATTTTGGACACAACTGCACAATTTCTGGCAAAGAAGTATTATAAGTACACAGAATTTGATATTTCAAGTCATAAATGAATTGATTTGAAAATATGGACGAAAGCTTTAAAGAACCGAAATCAGGAGGTACCGTTATATAGAGCCCACATCTCTCTGCTCTTAACTTAAAATTATAAACGATTTGCTCTGAAGTTGTGGTCTAAACATTAAAATCAAGTAAAAAAAAAACAGAAAGTTCAGCGGGGCCGAACTTTGAATTCACTCCACCATTTGGAAGGAATTTGAAAATTTTTAATAAAAAAATCCGTTAAAAAATACTGCTAAAATCATCAAAATACCAAATATAGGGAGGTACCGTTATATGGGGCTATGCGGCTACCTGGACCTGCATAGACTATTTTCTGTAACAGACTGTAGCACCCATTACGAACTTAATATACGAAATTTGAAACAATTCCGGTGGATAATGTCACTAAAATTATCAAAATACTAAATATAGGGAGGTACCATTATATAGGGACTATACGAAAACGTGGACCTCTATAGCCAATTATGCCAGGGAAGATGTGGTCATATTACGAACTCCAATTACCAAGTTTAAGGTCATTCAGTTGAAAATGTAACTAAAATCCTTAAAATACCGAATATCTGGAGGCACAGTCATATGGGGACTATACCAAAAATTGGACCTATATAGACAGTCCTGTGAAAGGATGTTTCCTACATACTGGTAACACAAGCTATCAATCTACAAATTTGGCCAAAAATTATGATAAAAACAACCAAAACACCTTAAATCTGGCGGTACAGTTATATAAGGGCCATACCATAAGGTCCATACCTACTTGGCCCATTTTAATACCAAAAGTCCTGTATAATACGCATCTGAGTAAAACTTTATCAACCTACATCATTATGATCGGAAGCTAGAGCGATTTTCACAGACGGACATATGGACAGACGGACGGACATCTCTAAATCGACATGGGGCCTTAAATGTATATTTCGAGGCGTTACAAACTGAATATACCCTACTAGGGTGGAGGGTATAAAAAGCTAGGGAATACAAAAACAATAACGCGTAATCGGACCTAGAGTTTAATTAATAAAATTGTTTATTTCAATTAATAATATCGTTTTTTCTTTCTACTAGCCGCTTTAATATTTATCTCTGCTGGTATGTTCCTGGGAGATCCAGGCCCAAGAGTTTACTTCACCAACAAACACTGGCCAATGAGTTGGTTCATTGGAGCAATAGTCGGTGTTATTTTGGGCGCCAATATTTGTAACAGAATACCAAAGAAACTGATAACGGTAAGCTTCGCAGTTCCAAAAGATTTCTCGCATTTATTCAAACAAATTTTGATGTTTCCAGTGTTTTGCTGCATTGTTGGTAACCGTTTCGGGCATATTGTTGGTGGCAGATCCACGCTCAGAGGATGCCCTGTTGGCAGCACGTTACATCAATGGCTGTGCCTTGGGTCTGGTATTCCCCCTGACATTTGTTCTGGTGGGTGAAGAATGTGTGAAAAGTTTACGTGGTATGAATGCCGCCGCCGTCGGTTCGATGTGCCTACAGTTGGGCTCATTTATACAGTCCATTTATTCGTTTAGTTGGCCACAGGATGCCTTATTCGATGGCGCCCAAAAGATGGGTATACTTTCGATTTTCTGCGGATTCTTAAGTTTTATTATGGCATACACTATGCAATTGGAATCACCGATTTTATATTTAGCACATGGTCAGGAGGAAAAAGCAATCGATATATTAAGACGCCTACTGCGGCCATTTACAGTAACACACGAGACCTATGAACAGCTATCGGAACATAAACAATATTTGGCCGAAAGTTGTGATATCATCGGACTGCCGGCTCTTTTGAAATTATCTTTCTATAGGGCATTTTCGGCTGCTAGTACCTGTTTCTACAGCTACTTTGCTTTTTCCTATGCCGTATCAATTGCCTTTCGATACAATGATGTATGGGCTTATAATGTGTATAGTTTCTTGGCATGGATTGGAACACTGATGGTCACCTTTATAATCGATTCACAGGGTCGTAGAACACCAACGATTATTGGATTCTTTTGTTGTTCCTGTTTTAGTTTTGCCATTGGCGGTATTTTTAATGACAAATTAAATATCAGAAATCGTGAGACAATGGCGGTAGTGGTGTTCCTCCTGATGGCGTATCAATTGTTTGCCTGTATTTCAACAGCATCATCATCTGTATATCTTTCGGAGGCATTTCCATTGGCCGTAAAACCTTACTATGTTGCCATTACCTTTATTGTGGAGATGTGTATTCACCTCTTGAGTATTGTCATTTGTTCGAGGCCGTTGCGTTCCAACGTTTACGATTTGCCAGAATACTTCAACACTATGGGTGGGTTATCAATCGCATTATTGATCATGGCTATAGTTGCATTGCCAGAAACCAAGAAAAATACATTGCGAGAATGTTTAGCTAAATTTCGAAAATTTATAAATTATCAATTTTGATTGATCATTTCAATTAAATTTTCAAATAATCTATAAAAATATATATATACAATTAATAAATATGTATCAGCCTCTCGTGATATTTTAAAAATGTATGTTTTCTTTCAAATTTATAAGGTGTCACAGTTTTCACCGGAATTTTCAAGTTTCACGTTTGCTACTTAGTGTTGGTAATGGGTACAACTTTCTGTGACGGAAAACCTCCTGTACACGTCCACATCGTCGTATAGCCCCCTTATAATGGTACCACCCAATATTTAATATTTTTATGGTTTTAGCTACATATTTCAACAGAATTATCGTAAACTTGGTGTTTGGAATTTGTAATAGGCACCTCCTTTTCTGGCAAATTATTGGCTGTAAAGGTCCACGTTTTTGTATATCCCCATGTAAATGTGACACCTGATAATCGGATTTTTCATACCCTCCACTATACATAGTATGGAGGGCATATTGAGTTCGTCATTCCGATTGTATCTCATCGAAATAATAATTTTAGACATAACCACGTATATATTCTTGATCAGCGTAAAATTCTAAGACGATCTAGCCCTGTCCCTCCGCCCATCTGTTGTAATGGCGCTAGATTCAAAATGAATAAATATAGAAATTTAACATTTAGCACAGATGAGTCTTTTGTCTGCGGTTCTGCAGGTCAAGTTCACCCCCTATAATAGAACTTTCTTTTTAAGCACTTTACTACCTGGAAGAGAAATTTCTATATATCTAGTATTTGAAGTTATTAATAGGTACTACAGACTGTGACAGAAAGTTGTCTATGCAGGTCCAGGTCTTCGTATACCTCCCTATATTGGGTTTTTTTTGGCGATTTTAGCTACTTTATTCCCGGATTTTCGTATTTGAATATTGTAATGGCTTAGACCCCAATTTGATGGCTATATTCGGTATTTTTAAGATTTTAACAGAATTTTTAACGGATTTTAATTTTTTTTAAGTTTCCAAATTTGTTTCAAATGGTGCATTTAAATTTCGGCCCGGCCGAACTTACTGCTTTTTTACTTGTTAAAATTATAGCTGCATTTTCAATTTCCAATTGATTGAAATTGACCGGACCGGCGAATTTGTTCGAATTGATCACCTTTGGCACGAATTAGGGCCTTCAAACGGCCAATGAAACCGTCACACGCTGCCCGAATGTTGCTCTGAGGTACATTGAACCGTTCCCGGCAAAGCGCTTGCTTGAGGTGATCGACACTTTGGTATTTTTTAGTGCCAACCTTGCTTTCCAAAATAGTCCAGACACAATAGTCCAACGGATTGGTATCCGTAGATTTTGTTGGCCATTGTGCGCTGGAAATGAAGCGCGGAACCTCATTTAGTAACCATTCTTGGGTGCCTCGTGTTGAGTCCTGTTGGAATGTCCAAGGTCTGCGGCAAAAATGTTTTCGTGCCCAAGGCTTTAATACACCCTAATATTCGGCATTTATTCTGATGCCACGGTCGATTAATACCAGCGGAGAGCGACCATCGGCTGTAATGGCGGCCAACACCATCACCATGGCCGGCGCTTGAGTTGTGGTGGCCAACCGAAGGTGCACATTTTCAGCTGACCTCCTCCTTGGCAAGTAAACACGATAATTTTGTTTGTTTACAAACTGCTGGACAACGAATGTTTTCTCATCGGAGAAAACCAAATTCGGCAGTTCACCACTTTCGGCCAAGCGAAGCAACTCTTAACTCTTTTGAGTCTATTTTCTTCTATTTGCGGTGCAAGTTCTTGCACTTTTTGGAATTTCAATGGCTTTACCACGAGCTAATTTTTCAATATTTGCCGAATGGAATATTGCGATATGTTCAGCTCACGAGCCATTTTTCAGCCACTACGACCCGGGTTTCGATCAAGTTGCTTCTTTACTTTCCGAATCATTTCGTCCGTCCCCTTCCTTGACATCGGACTACGCTACCAGTATCACGGCAACGAGCGATGGTACGAGACACAAACAATTAATTCACATTTAAATGCTGGAGTGCTCTAACCATAGCCACTGGTGGTTTTCCAGCCAAAAATAAAGAAAACACACTATCACGCTTGAATTCCATCACGAATATCTTTTTTTTTTTTCGGGAAAATTCTCACCAAAATGCTTTTGTACGCTTGTAAACAATATAATGAGCTGTCACTGGAATAATTTTAACAGCTATCGGACGAGTGGCTCAGAAATGACAGCAGTCTGAAGTTGATTGCAGCATTTTTATCTCACCCTGTATAGATTTGCATTTTGTCCTAATTCCTTTTAAGCATAACTACCTTTATCACAACCATAAAGGTAGTTATGCTCAGATAATATGGCCGTAATATTCCAAATGTGACACTGAAAATATGGTTGATGTTACAATGTGTTTGTATATGTTATCTTCAAATATTAACATTATTTTTATACGGAGGGTATATTAACTTTGTCATTCCGTTTGTAACTCCTCGAAATACTCATGCCAGACCCAACAAAGTACATATATTCTTGATCAGCGTAAAATTCTAAGTCGATTCAGCCAAGTCCGTCTGTCTGTCAGTCTATCCGTCTGTATCACGAACGAATTGAGATAGAAGGCTAAAATTTTGCACACATGTTTATTTTTTCAGTAGGCAGGTTAAGTTCGTAAATTGGCAATGTGGGTCCACGTTTTCATATAGCCTCCATATAACGGTACCTCCCGATATTCGGTATTTTGATGATTTTAGCGACATTATTAACAGGATTTGTTTCAAATTTGGTGTTTGAAGTTCGAAATGCATACTACAGCCTAAGACAGAAAACTGTCTGTGCAGGTGCACGTCTTAGTATAGCCCCCATATAACGGTACCTCCCGATATTCGGTATTTTGATGATTTTAGCAACGTTATTAACCAGATTTTTTTTCAAATTTGGTATTTGAAGTTCGAAATGGATACTACAGCCTTAGACAGAAAACTGTATGTGCAGGTCCCCGTCTTCGTATAGCCCCCATATAACGGTACCTCCCTATATTCGGTATTTTGATGATTTTGGCGACATTGTTAACCGGAATTGTTTCAAATTTGGTGTTTGAAGTTCGAAATGCATACTACAGCCTAAGACAGAAAACTGTCTGTGCAGGTTCACGTCTTGGTATAGCCCCCATATAACCTCCCCATATTCAGTATATTCAGTATTCAGATGATGATGATATTGATGATGATATTTAGAGTTCGTAATGGGAACTACAGTCTGTGACAGAAAATTGTGTATGCAGGTCCAGGTCTTCGTGTAAGCCCCACATACCAATACCTCCCTATATTGGGTATTTTGACGAGTTTAGCTACAATACCCAACGAAATTGTTTGAGACGCGTATTTGAAGTTCGTAATAAATGCTACAGCCTATGGCAGAATGGTTATGATGATTTTTGCTACAATATTCAACGTTTATTTCAAGTTTCGAATTTGAATATGGTAATGACTTATGGCAAATGCCTATGTAGGCCCACGTCGTATAGACACCAATATAAAAGCTATATTCAGTATTTTTAAAATGTTAACATTTTTTTTAAGGATTTTATATCCAAATTCATTCCAAATGGTGGAGGGTGTTCAAAGTTCGGCCCGGCCGAACTTACTGCTTTTTAACTTGTTACAAATGTATTAAAACAATTTATTTAAAATGTATAAAAAATTTTATGCGATATAGGGGAGCTGCAAATCATTTTCATGGATCCTCTAAAGGCAATTCAAAGCAAATGTTTATTCAATTTAAATTGCCATAACGTCATAAGCAACAAAGGCAAATATACATAAATTTATCCAACACATTTTATTCCCTGCAATCGATATTTTGTTTATGGGCCACACTTCTGATAAGAAGTCCAAACATGGTTATCTTATCACTTAATATAAAAACAAATGTACTCAGGGAACACTGTACAGTGGCTTTAAAACGTTGAAAATTTGAAATTCATTAACATAGATAAACGGAATGTAGAATAGTAATATATTATGGATCAGTGAAAAAGCAATAGGTAACAATAAAATAATTCAATAGGATTTTAATGTGAGGTACCAAACTTTATTGGCAATCTCTAGATTATGTGTTATCAAAATCGGCTATATTCCTGGAACAGTAATCAACCATATATCTAAATATGGAATTTATACCTTTTTCCACTGAAACATAACTAATCTCACGGATCGACGGATATTAGCCACTGTATATCGTGTATTTTTTTGTTACCAATAGATTATGCACACGCCTCAGCAAAAATGCGGTAAATTGTCTGGCAACATTGAGGGGATATCTGAAACCAGAATGGAAATGAAGGGAACTCAATAATCGTAAATCGTTAATATAAATCAATTAATTATTGATAGCAGTGTGTCACATTATCTTCGACCACAATTCGTACTAATCTAGCCAGAGTTTTAGTGAATCATTCGTGGTCGGTAGCTGGACGGCAGTGTTCAAAATTCTTTAAATCGCGTAACAATAAATGGCAAAACTAAAAAAATGTGCCACTGTTAACATCATCACAAAATTGGCGAAAACCAATATTTCAAATTCTTAAAAAAAATACAAAAAAAACTGAGTTTCCCACAAAGAAAAATGCCCATATTACCCACAATCAAAGAGGAGGAGAGCCAAACATGGTTTCAACAAGTATGGCATGGTCGCATCCAACTGCTGCTGACAATACCAGCTTCGTTAATTCTCTTTGCGGGCGGCCTGAAGCTGGCTTGGACGGTGTATGAGGCTCCGCCAAATCGCTTTGACTACGACTATGACAGCAGTCTTTTAATTGTGGCGTTATTTGTTGGTGGTATTTTGGGATGCATTGCGGCCTCAACATTCGTTGGACGTGTAACAAAAAATATTGCTCATGTAAGTAATGAGAAGGAAAATGTTGAACTAATCGGCTGGGCGGCCTATATGTCTCCCTACACCACACCACAGTGGTGCAAATTTGTGTATAATAAATCGTATTGAATTCCGTTTTACAACTTTAGGACGACTGAAGTTTGAAATCAAATGAAACGAACATGTGGGAGTTACATATCTGGAACTAATTCCACTTAATTTGACAAAGGAATATTCATACCCTCCACCTTGAAAAGGAGGGTATATTAACTTTGTGATTTCGTGTGTAACACCCCCATATATTCGTCGTGGACCCCATAAAGTATATATATATTCATGATCAGCATAAAATTCTATGTCGATTTAGCGATGTCCGTCCGTCCATCCGTCTGTCCGTCTGTGGAAATCACTCTAGCTTCCGAACGAAATAAAGTAGGTTGCTAAAATTTTACTCCAATACATATTATGTCTGCAGGTCTTTTGGTTTTGAAAATGGGCCATGTGGGTCCACGTTTTGGTATAGCCCGCATATAATGGTACCTCAATATTTTCGGTATTTTGGTGATTTTAGCGACAGTATTCACCGGAAATGTTTCAAATTCGATATTTGAAATTATTAACGGATGTATAGCCTATGACAGAAAATTGTCTGCTCTAGTAATATTTTGTCATAGCTGTAGTAGCCACTACAAACTTTAAATACGGAATTTGAAACAATTCCGGTAAAAGTGTCGCTAATATCATCAAAATTCCGAATAAATGGAGGTGCAATTATATGTGGACCTAAGAAGACAATTTTCCATCAAAAGTTTTAGTACACATTACGGGCATCACGAAATTTGAAACAATTCCTGTGAATAATGTACCTAAAATCATCCAAATACCAAATACTGGGATATATCGTCATTTTGGGGCTATACGAAAACGTGGATCTTCATACGCAATTTTTTGCTATAGACTGTAGTACCCATTACGAACTTTGAATATGGAATTTAAAACGATTCGGGTGAATAATGTCGCTAATATCATCATAATACCGACATATTGGGTCTACACCACATTGTGGACCTATATAGACAATTCTCTTGCTTCTTTTGCTTTTTTTAGGCCATTCCATTGAAAATTGTGGCTATAATCATCAAATTGCCGAATATCCGGAGGTACTGTTACATGGGGACTACACGATATCGTGTACCTAAATAGACAATTCTCTTGCAGGGTGGAAAATACTGACAAAGAACTCCCTGTGTAGAATTTCAGACAATTCCATTGAAAAATGTGCCCAAAAGCATAAAAATACAGAATATCGGGAGGTACCGTTATATGGAAGCTATACGATATCGTAGACCAATATAGGCCTTCTTCAAACTTGACTTGCATGCAGACAAAATACTGATCTGTGCAAAATTATAGCTTCCTATCTTGATTCGTTTTGACTCTAGTGTGATTACAACAGACAGACGTCAAGGATGTGGACGGAAGAAAACAGCAACATCAGCAGGAATAGTTCGAAAAGTAAAGAAGCGACTTGATCGAAACCCGCGTCGCAGTGGCCGAAAAATGACTGGTGAGCTGAACATATCGCAATATTCCATTCGGCAAATGTGAAAAATTAGCTCGGGGTAAAGCCATTGAAATTCCAAAAAGTGTAAAAACTAGCACTGCAACAGAAAGAAAATAGACTCAAAAGAGCTAAATAGTTGCTTCGCTTGGCCGAAAGTGGTGAACTGCCGAATTTGGATTTCTCCGATGAGAAAACATTCGTTGTCCAGCAGTTTGTAAACAAACAAAATGATCGTGTTTGCTTGCCACAGAGGTCAGCTGAAATTGTGCACCTTCGGTTTGCCACCAGAACTCAAGCGCCGGCCATGGCGATGGTGTGGGCCGCCATAACAGCCGATGGTCGCTCTTAGCTCGTATTAATCGACCGTGGCATCAGATTAAATGCCGAATATTATCACGAAAATATTCTGGAGGGTGTATTAAAGCCTTGGGCACGTAAACATTTTGGCCGCAGATCTTGGACATTCCAACACGACACAGCACCATCGCACTCAGCACGCGCCACCCAACAATGGTTACAAAATGAGGTTCCTCGCTTCATTTCCAGCGCACAATTGCTACCAAAATCTCGGGATACCAATCCGTTGGACTATTGTGTCTGGAGTATTTTGGAAAGCAAGGTTGGCACTAAAAAATACCAAAGTGTCGATCACCTCTTGCAAGCGCTTCGCCGGGAATGGGCCAAAATACCATTGAGCAACATTCGGGCAGCGGTGACCAATTCTAACAAATCTAAACTTATTCTAAAATTTGAAGCTATTTCCAACATTTTTTGCTTTCATTCGATAGAATTTTGACTTTGTTGCAGTTTTTTATCTCACCCTATATGGGAGCTATATCTAAATCTGATCCGATTATTACCAATTTCAATAGGGTTCGTCCTTGGATCAAACAAATATTGTTTGCAAATTTTAATCTCTATCGGGTAATAAATGCGACCTGCATTTTGTTCACAAGAGTGCATGCACGGGCGGACAGACGGACTGACATGTATACATCGACTTAGAAAGTGATTCTATAAAGATCCTCTAAAGTAACTATGGGTCTATCACGCTTCCTTCTCCATGTTGCAAACAAATGCACAAAGACAAAATACCCTTACCACTATGTGGTGTAGGGTATAAAAATTGTGTGTAGTGCCTAAAATTATGCTACAAAAATGCTACAGATAATTTTTCAATTGACATTAATATACTCTAAAATCGTATGTAGTCTAGCCTTTAAGGCTATCCGATTTTTTTCGGTTGAAAAATATAGATAACCAGAGACAAAATTTTACCAAAGATAAATTTTTAAATGCTTTCTCTGAGCTCTATTTTTAAACGATACTAATATTAAAATATTTCCATTTTCAATTTAAATGTTAGGAACGACAATCTTGTTTCAGTAAAATCCATAGGTCATGATGATTAAAATCGTTAGTTGTTGTAATCTATGTACAGCCTTGCTACTCATTATCGAAGATTCTATGAAAAACAAATTCAACCAATTTTTACTTGCTTTCGTCTAATTACCACATTTATTTCCTCTTCACAGATACCTAGTGGTTCCCTACTTGTTTTTGGTGGGATACTATTCGTGATATTACCAAACTCTTTCATTGGCATGGCATTCAGTTGTGTGTTTGAAGGCATGGCCATGGGCTTGACACAGGTGCAGACGTTCGTTGTGGGTCCCGAAATGTGCAGCAAGGAAATGCGGGGTTTTGTGATGGCAACAGAACGATGCTCTCTCTGGTTCGGTATACTCATGCAACTGACATTCACATATTTGTGGTACGCACTCGAACCACCATCCGGCTACCGCAGCCTGCAACCCGATCAGATTCACGGCATTGTGGTGGCATGCTTAGGATTAGCAGCCATCGTTGCGGCTATTAAACAACGCATCGAATCGCCACTACTGCTCATCCAACAGCAACGTGAACATGCAGCAAGCAGTGTCCTGAAACAGCTCATCGGCACCCAATTGACCACAACGGAAGTGATGCGCGTGCGTGAGGACTGTGTCCAATTAATGGCAATCGATGCCGACCAGAGTGGGTGGTATGTCTTTCGGAGATTCAACGCCGGCCCATTATTCAAATTGTTTATTTTACGTGGCTTTGTTACGCTAACAATGTCGCAGCCATTCAATCGCGTGTATTTGTCCGCCAGTTGGTTAGGCTTCAATTGTGACACCAATTGTTTGTACACCATGGCGGCCACTGGAGCATGTGGCAGTTTATTGGGTTGCCTGCTAATCGACAGATACGGCCGGCGTAGAATGTGTGTAGCTACAATGCTGCCGGCCACAATATTTATGCTCATAACTGGTGGCATCATGGAATATTTGGTAAATACCAATGCAGCCATTGTTCAGCTAGATTTGGAAATTATTGCCCTCCTAATGCTGCTCTTCCAATTTATCATTTGCGTTGGGGTTTCCATAGCGGCCAGTGTCTATTTGTCAGAGGCATTCACCGTCACGCAAAAGGCTAAGTGCGTGGCAGCGGTATTGATTGGCGAGCACACACTCCAATTGGCACTAGCCTTAGTGTCGGCCTTGACGACCATCAATGGAACGGTTTTCTTCTTCATCATGGGATTTCTCTGCATGCTACTGGGATTGTGTGTATTCTTTTTGATGCCCGAAACAAAGTGTTTGACTTTATATGAATGTTTGCAAAAGTTCAAAAGAGCCTAGTTTGAACTGCTACACTATCGCGTACTCACTAACCCACTCACACATACGCACGCATAACTTAGAGCAGGCATTGAATTAGCCTTAATTAGAAAAATTTGCATTGGCATCGAGCGAATGGGGAGTCGTCGCATACCCCGCAAATGATTGATTAAATAATGGATGGCACTTGATGAAGATGTGACACAATGGCGGCCACAACGTACATGCATGTGTATATTATTCTGAGTCGATAGATTGATAGATAAACCTGTACATAACTATGTCTGTATGCATACGTATGTATGTTTTTTTACGTCGAATAAAGAATTGAATATCTATCTTCTTCTATATATATAAAAATCAATTGTTGTTCGTTGGTAATGGAATCAGTTGAGAACGGCTGAACCGATTTGCATGATTTTTTGTACAAACGTTCGTCATACCCCAAGTTAGGTTTTTAAAGAAAAAAAATATTGACCACGCCTCCTTTTACGCCCACTATTTCGATTTATCTAAAATCCTTATATTTCCCAAATAATGTCTTCATTATTCGGTTCGCCCACTATTTCGATTTACCTAAAATCCTTATATTTCCCAAATAATGTCTTCATATATCGGTTTAAAAATTTTTTCACGAGGTACTGTTGACTTTCCCTCCAACCCTAAGTATTTATTTGGGGGCTGAGAAACTGACCACACCTACTTTTTAATCTATCCATACATCTATATATATATAAAAGAAAGTTCTGTTAGTTACTACGCTTATAACTCAAGAACCGCCGGTCTGATGTTAACGATTCAGACAATTTCGGGGTTGCCTCTTGGCAGAAAAGGATAAAATCCAAGCAAATCGCGGAAAATGTGAAATTAGAACATTTTCATTTTGACTCTTAAAATGTACAATAGTAATGTTTTATATTGCATGATTTTTTTCATTTTGACTTACTATTTTCAAATGTACATTTGTAGTGTTTTTTCTTTTCGAAAATTTCGAAAGTTTTTGAAAATTAATATGATATGTAGTTTTTTTACGGTAGTATAAAGCGACAACGGACAAAAATGCTATTTATAGATTTAAGGTATTCAGAGGGGGATACAAAATAAAGAATTATTTCCACCATATAAAAGAAAGTAATGTTAATTACTACGCTTGTTCACGGATAAGTGAACATGTTTTTATAATAAAAGAGAATAGCGGGGCTAACTAGTGTAGATGAGAGGGATTTGTTAAACAGGGTGAACAGACCTTTGAGTTAGAAATAAATAATTCAATTGCTGCATGTGGTATGTTTGAGTTAGATTACTGGATGAAATCTTAACTCATACTGATAAGGAAGTGCAGCATGTTTGCTTGCCACAAGTGAGATAGCTACGCATGTTTTATGACCTCCCCTAGAATTTATGGCGGCATGGTGCACAGGCATGTGTAGATTTGTATCTCTCTATTTCTCTCTCTCTCTCTCTCTTACACTTTATGCTAGACTAGGTTAAGAAAAATTATCATAAGTAGAACTTAAGAATTATTTTAAATGAATAAAAACAGTGTAGTAACAAAAGTAAAACGGTGCATACAATTTCTTCCGCGAACAACGCTTAAAACGCAAAAACGGCTTGACGGACTTTAACAATTCATACAATTTTGAAATGGTGAAAATTTGCCAATAAAAATGCGACTGGCGATCGATCATGTATAAAAGTGGCATTTAGCTTTCAATTCCAGGACCTACATCGTGCTTCAGCTGGAAGATGCGAACATATTTTAAGAAACAAAATTGACCGACATAGCGTTATGGGACTCATTTCAAAACATGGACCTACTTCTTTCACATGACAATAATCCGTCCAATGAGAACTCAAAATGCAAAATTCATTGGGACTGCAATCAGTGAAATACGGAATATAAAGGATGCAAAATAGTAGAGCGGATTGGACATTTAGTCAAAAATGGATTTCTTCCTAAACTTTCAATATACCTTAAATCGCTTTTGCAGGTCATCATATGGGTCATAACCCCCGGATACTTTCCAGGTCTTGGCCACTTTTTTCATTTTTTGCCCTTATTTGAATTTATTAAAAATAGGTATATGCCAGGAGCAAGCGTATTATTAGCCAGAATAACATTTTAATGTACATTCTTTCTCAATGTATAGGGTGAGATAAAAAAAACTGCAACAAAGTCAAACACCATAATTTTTACATTTGTTTTTTATTTAATTTTATTGAATGATTTCAAAAAATGTCAGAAATAGCATCAACTTTCAGAATAAGTTAAGATATGTTCGAATTGGTCACCTTTGGCACGAATTACGGCCTTCAAATGGCCAATGAAACCGTCACACGCTGCCCGAATATTGCTCTGTGGTATTTTGGCCCATTCCCGGCGAAGCGCTTGCTTGATGTGATCGACGCTTGGGTATTTTTTAGTGCCATCCTTGCTTTCCAAAATATATAAAATACTCCAGATACAATAGTTCAACGGAATGGTATTAGGAAATTTTGGTGGCCATTGTGCGCTGGAAATGAAGCGAGGAACCTCATTTTGTATCCATTCTTGGGTGGCGCGTGCCGCGGCCAAAATATTTGCGTATCCAAGGCTTTAATACACCCTCCAGAATATTTTCGCGAAATATTCCGCATTTATTCTGATGCCACGGTCGATTAATACGAGCAGAGAGCGACCATCGACTGTTATGGCGGCCCACACAATCACCATGGCCGGCGCTTGAGTTCTGGTGGCCAACCGAAAGTTCACATTTTAAGCTGACCTCTTTGGCAAGTAAACACGATCATTTTGTTTGTTTAGTTTGAGTTTGATTTGTTTCTGTTGCGGTTTAAGTTCTTGCACCTTTTAGAATTTCATTGGCTCTACCCCGAGCTCCCCGATTTTTCAATATTTGCCGAATAAAATATTGCGATACATTGAACTCACGAACTATTTTTCGGCCACTGTGACGCGGGTTTCGATCAAGTCGCTTCTTTACTTTTCGAACCATTTCTGCTGATGTTGCTGTTTTCTTCCGTCCACTTCCTTGACGTCGATCTACGCTACCAGTATCATGGTAACGAGCGATGGTATGAGACACAAAAGAATTATTCACATTTAAATGCTGGAGTGGTCTAACGATAGCCACTTGTGGTTTTCCAGCCAAATATTAAGAAATCACATTATCACGCTTGAATTCCATCACGAATAACTTTTTTCTGCAAAATTCTCACCAAAATGCTTTTGAACGCTTGTAAACAATATAATGTGCTGTCACTGGAATAATTTGAACAGCTGTCGGACGTGTGGCTTAGAAATGACAGCAGTCTGAAGTTGGTTGCAGTTTCTTCATTTCACCCTGTTTTCACCCTAGATTATATTAAAAATATATATATCGGAGCCGAACCGATATCGGGAGCTATAACCAAATCTGAACCGATCTTGATAAAATTTGGCGGAGGTATTTGTAGGCTGTACCTGATATCTGGTACCAAATATCATTGTCGAAAGCATATTACGAATGAGAGGGATTTAAATATCAAATCAGATGAAACATATATATGGGAGCCATAGCTATATCTGAACCGATTTCCCCAAATGTTATGTACTTACTTCTAGACTGAATTCGGTCGGATGTGCCAAAATTCATTTGGACTGATATTGGCCATTTGGTGCACAATTAACCAGAAATCGGTTGAAGATATATGGGAGCTGATCCTGATCCGATTATCGCCAATTTCAATAGGGTTCGTCCTTGGGCCAAACAAATATTGTTTGGAAAATTTCATCTCAATCGGATAATAAATGCGACCTGCATTTTGTTCACAAGAATATACAGAACGGACGATATGCATAAATCGACTTAGAAAACAAGTAAGCAAAGGCTACAGTCGAGCGGGGCCGACCGTTGAATACCCTACAACACTGTAATAAACGATACAGTTTATATAGGCAAGATACTCGAAAGAATTCCACAAGATATTGTAACAAATAATAAAAGAAAACCATCAGGTTTCGTTCTCTAATTTTCGAATAATAGCAACTTAAACTAATTTGCTCATTTCCAATTAATTGGTAGATGTTGCACTTAAATGGTCTTCCTAGATCTGGAACCAATATTTCCCAAAGACCTATAATCTCTCAGAAGTGGCAGGAGATTAACATTTATTATTGGTTTTTGACTGAAATGCATCTATATGAGATACAGACATTGAAATCAGCGTTAACGAAATAGTCAGGAGTGCGTCTTTCCTGTATTTGTGAATTCTCCAAAAAGTCAATGGAATGGACATTTTCTTATTTTGTCTACAAAAGTTGGCTAACTATTTCACACATTGAATATTTTTGGATGGCCATCCAAAACTGCTTGGCTTTTGCAATGTCCGGTAACCCCCATTCAAATGTTCGTTAGGATCGGGAGATAATTACGACCTGCTGACAATTTTGCAGTTTTTTTGGTCTCTTTCAACCCCTAAATATATGGCGATCATCTCCAAAAAGAGAAGGCTTCTATTCTGACCCTCATCTTATCCCCATGCAAAATTTCGTAAGGATCGGGCCATAAATGCGATCTGTAAATGATATCCTGATATCCTAACTAGTTAGTTTTGTTAGCTGTAGGAATATTACCAAATGTTTAATTAAAAATGAAAATATGCCAAAAATATGACAAAATGGAAAAAATATGAGAAAATATTACAAAATCAATATTTTCATCTTTAGAGAGATATTTGTATGCGCATTTTAGACGTTTTTCCTTTCCTGCCAAGAGGCCATTCTGAATTAATGAGAACTGTCGAAATCAGTTCAGCCGTTCTCGACATATATGAGATCTTTCAAGCATATCTTCTTTGATAGACATATATATCGCACATATTTTGCTATATATTCGATTTTTTGGATCTTAACATCAATGTAAAGATCAGAAGTAACCTTGTCATGGCTTTGTGATTTCGCCGGGATTTAAAATATTCGCGGTTTAATGAAAAATTTTGAATTTTTTCAACAAAAAAGATATGGCCTATTTTACCCGCTAAATATTATCCGATTACCACCCAAATTGTTAGGCTTCTTCCCCGCCCTAAACTCTAGCTACGTGCGAAATTCCGCGTCGATTGGTCTATAATTGCGACCTGTATAGCTACTGGAAAATCCGACATTTTTTCAGTATTTGGTCCATTTCAACCCCTAAACATTTGGCGAACATCTCCAAAAGAAATAGGGTTCTATTCTGACCCTAGCCCCACCTCCATTCTAAATTTCGTGAAGATCGGGCCATAATTGCGACCTGTAGAGTGATTACAAATTAACATGGACAGACGGACAGACGGACGGACGGACATACATAGCTAGA